TGCTCATATAGTTGAGTCTCCTCTTTTGTTTTTGTAAATAGGGACTCCCCAAGGCCCGGGGAGGCAAGGGCTTTGACATTTACTTTTAAAGTACTCAGAGGGGACAGAGAAGAGTGTAAAACACATGGGGAAGAACAGGCAAACGAGAGGAGTTATACTTGGGGATTTAGAGAGAACACATGCCTCAGTACTTTTTACATACGGATCTGTTATTCAGCTATTCCCCTGGCCTTGTTTCCCTGACCTTAGGGTTAAAGGTTAAGTCACTAAAATGTGGATGATTAAAATATTTCAAATAAATAAATAAATAAATAATGGTTTATATTTTATTGTTTTGCCTTTAACCTTTTATTTCTTTTTTTATTATTATGTGTTATTTAATTGTATTATTTTATCAAATGTTATCTTAACTATATACTTCAGTTATATAGTTTAAATGGTTTAAATTAACTTATTGTATTACATTTAATCTTTATTAATCTATTTTTTATTTGTTTGTATGTTTGTTTATTAAATGCTTAAAATCTTAACTGTATCCGTTAGCATAATCTAAAATATTGACAGAATGAAAGTTCAGTTTTATAGAATGTTAGAGAACTTCAATTCTTCATCTCTAAAAGATGCCTGACACTCTAGTGAATAGCAGCGCAGATAACAAGAGACATCAATCACATGGAAGGAGCAGGTTATCTGTCCCCTCTATGTGCGTGCCCCCTCTATTTGCAGCGTTTTCACATTTGTTCAAAATACCTCACATCAAAACCAACATACCTGTGCAATTATAACAACACACAACCACTCCATCACAAGTCCTTAACACACCCTGCCATCAAATGGGGAAATACTTAGTTCTCGTTGCCACACTTCTCACAGGTTTACAGATGGTTTTCACAACCAGGACAGTGAATCATTTCTTGAAAACTTCTCTTTTTCTGGTGAATTAACTTATTTTTCTACCTCTAATGCTTCTTTTAAAAAAAGGTAAATGGCCAGGTTAATTGGCAGGTCAATTTTGAGTGTCCAGCAGCTAGCCCCACCAGTGAAAACAAACTGTCACTCTCATACTTTTGTACAAACCTGCTCATTTTCTGTGACTGTATGTAGGCTGTATGTGAATGAACTGGTTTACTCACAAGTTACCGCTGTGGAGTACAACCAATGGAAGGGGCAAACACAAGTCAAAATTAATAGCAAAAAATTGAGAAGGAACAACACAGCATGAGTTTTTTTTTTTTTTTAAGGGCAACTGTTTGAACTTGAGGAGAAATTACTTCATATTAATAAAAACCAGCTGGGATACAAAAATCTACTCTGAAAAGTAAAGTTACTTCTGAGCAAAGTCCTGTTGTGACATTTTGTATATTAAACAATAAAATCCATATATTTTCTTCATCCAAGTGTGGCATAAGTGCCCAAACATGTCCATATATTGTTTGGGGCCACTATATATATAAATATATAAAAAGAAAGAAAAAAGAATTGTGAAGATAAAATGTAAAAGGAGATAAAGCAAAAAGAAAGAGAGAAAGGGCAACAGAAAGAAGAGAAGGAAGGGGTCGTCCTGACATAGAGGCAGATCTGAGGAATGCCCTGAAGGGATGACTGGGCCTAGGGATTATGGGTGAAAGAAAAGGAGAGAGAGAGCTTGAGAGCAAGCCCCCCTACAAAGCTAGAGACCCCCTCCACTGAGACACAAACACAGACGAACACTCAACTTCTCATCTGATGCGGCCCACAGCTCAAGAGCACTGCTTCTTTTTCTCAATTACTCACTTTCACTTGTTTCCCTTTCCTCTTTCTCACTCTTTGTGCCCTTTTCATTTGATGTCGAACATATCAAAGTTGAGGATTATCTAAGTAAGAGGTTTCAGTTGGAAGTCCTGGCTTGTTGACAGAAGTGAGTGGAAGCAATGCGCCACAGCACCACACAACAAAGGTATCCGGGCAATTTTCGATCAGGGGCTGCTTGTTAGGGTCAAAAATGCTAAACATGGCCAAATACACTGGATATTAAAAAAGAAAAAAAAAACACACATCTGGGATCCTTCCAGGATCACAACCAGCTATCGGCCTCGCAGAGACACAAATTTCTCATCCATTTGTTCCTTATTGGTTTGGACAATAAGCACAGTGCTATTCAAACCCACATTAGCATCTCAATGCCGCTTGTTAGTCATCTTATTCCCACATGCACTTAAAGACAGGTAGAACTTCTTTAGGATGCTAAAGGAACGGGCATTCCTTTCCAATGGCAGGCCTAATCTGAGGGTTTTATGCACATATGGTGGGTGGAAGGAGAGGGTGGGATGACATTGAGGATAATCGCATGTCATCTCTGCTTGTTAATATTAGCTGGTGACATAGCGTGCTCAGTATGGCAGTATGGCTGGCAAAAGTGACCTGCAAAAATTACATTTTGTTCTGCAATGCAGCCATGCATATATGAAATGTGATAAATCCCTGTTTGATGAGTGACTCTGAACTGAAAGTAATGATATTAAACTCCTGTTTTTTTGTTTTGTTTTGTTTTGTTTTGTTTTGTTTTGTTTTGGTTTTGTTTGGTTTTGTTTTGTTTGGTTTTTGTTTGTTTGTTTTGTTTTGTTTTGTTTTCTGGTCCACACATGAGTGACTGTGGATATTTCATGATGCAGCTAGTGTTTTTTTTTTTTACAAAACTACACCTGTTTAAACAAATAATTGCAAATGAGCGTTTCATTCAGGCACATTTATAGAATCATTGTTTGATGATGTTATAAAAATAATACAAATTTGATAAAGTCTGAGCTGCATGCTGAGCAAATGTAATCATAATCATTTAAATTCAGGTTACTTGCAAAGCACAATTTAGAGAATCTAGTATATCACTTACTTTTTAAACAATTTAATTTCCTTTTTAAAGCAAAATCAACAATGTACAAATTTGTTCCCAAAAGGCAAGATAGAAACAAGAGATAAACACAGACTCAAAAACTCATGCTGTGATTTTTTTTTTCTAATCACACTGAGGTCTGGCTTATCAGAGAACACTTTATCATCACAGAGCTCAAATTTAAGAGCTCAAATGAAATGTTTATTTCATAACAACATTAAGGCATTAAAATGCATACATCTCTGTTATGGCCTTTAAATTTGAGAGATTAAAATACATATATTCCTTTTAACCTCTGTTGACACGTAGCATGCAAATTCATAGGTCACCGGATAAAAACCGACATATTACAAAGAATATAGGCCTAATATAATAAATTATTAATTGCATGTAATTGTATGAGAAAATTTGACACACAAACGCATTTAGCATTTAATGTGCGCTGAATTAAGACCTGGGTTCGTAGCTATAATACAGATTTCAGTAGGCTATAGACAATTTACTGGAAAACGATTCTCGTAAAATGCATGCAAAAAGCAAATGCAATAAAGATAAAAAAGAGAGAGAAAAGAAAAGGAAAGCAAACCTCAAACATACAATATTATAGGCAAAACGAGCAGGCCCCGTTTACTTTTATTGGGCTTATAATAAATTACAATTAAAATGTGTAACATCACAAGCTGCTCTACAAACCAATATGCCTGTTAATATAGGCCTACGTTTATTACTGTTGATCAGTACAAACTTGCACAAAAAAAACAACAACAAAAAACCACTTAATTTAAAAACTTCTAATTGAAATGTGAATTTTGAATTTAAATATGAGATTACAGGTCGTCAGTTAATCGCGCGCAGGTGTCAGGAGTGGTTTGGCGGGACACGGTTGTTCGTAAGTCTCCAAGCTACACGGCTGTGAGTCTTTTCTGGGCTGCCGTGTGTTTGGAAAGTTTGGAAAAGTCTATCTACACAAGTGCTGTGACACAATAACTTTACACCACATTCAAAATGTAAATGACGATCATTTCCACTAATAAAATATGTTAATAAGCATTAGGCTATTATAATAGAAACGGAGTCAGATGCAATTATTTCACTTAGGCTATTATTCTTGCGTTTTTCCCTCCTAGAGAGCCGACAACGGACAAATTCGTAATAATCACACACTGTTAAAATGTTTACATCATTATCGTAAAATGTTTGTTTCCATCTATTAAATTGTCACAATAATTTCTACTCGATGTTAACAGTTTTCATAAGCAGTGATTGAATTCAAAGTGTGTGGAAAAAGTGCCATAAATTTACAGTATTTCTGCAGGCTGTAACTTTGATTTTACTTGCAAAACTAATGTTGCAAATAAACTTCAGTTTGCAATTTTCTGTGTTCAATTATACGTAGGCTACACTTAATAGATAAAATAGATAAAATATTTTTCATATTAGGACCATCGCGCATAATTGTTTTAAAATGTTTGCTGCGTCTATTAGCCTACATTAAATATGCCAATTTAGATTTATCTAACATAGTTTTTTTGTTGTACTCCCCCCACCTCCATAATAATAATAATAATAATAATACAAACATCCTGTCGTTTTACTGTCTATGCGTAAGATTTCATAGATTTCTTAAATATTTTTAAATTATGGTATTATGGCGAGGGAAAACACTGCAATATGATGAGGGACCCCCAATTTTACTGCTGGACTATTTCCAAGAAAAACATAAGCATTTGGAAATATTTAAACTGTCGCAAGGAGACACTGCACTGAAACCTGCTGCATTGTGATGGTTCTTATTATTTACAGATAATTATCAGTGTAACAAGCATAAAGCATTGGGACACTTTCAAAACATTTTAACAGACCAATAGGGGCCGCGAGTTAGACAATGAGAGCCCAAAGTTTGCAAAACGACTGTGCCGAACTTTCTGTGAAGCAGAAAATTCAGCCCAACGCTGACAATAAACGCTCTTTTATTTCGTTACTCCTGTTGATTTAATGTAATATTTTTGCACCAGACTGGCAAGAGTATCGCATTTCACGTTTTACACGACTCTTCCCCCCTCTTTTTCTTTTTGCAAAACTTTCATGGAACCAAAGAGGCTCGGAAAAACTGCACATTTCTTGCACTTACTCGTTCAGTTGCGAAACTTTTCTGTCCTGTCCTCGCAGACTTTCTTCTCGCTCGCGTGCAGATGCTAGTTGCAGACAGACACTCTTAGCTTCTTCACTTTAAACTCCAAAACTGCTCTGCGGACTTTTCTTTTTTCACTCGTCTTCTTCTTCTTTTTTTTTTTTTTTTTTTTCCTGCGTGCTCTTGGCAGGGGCAGCCCAGCACTGAACTAGCGCCCAGTCTTTGTCTACATACCTAAAGCCTAAACACAAAAGTAAAGCGACTCGTGAAACTCCTAAATGTTTATCACTAAGACTGTAATGCAGAGTTTCTTGGGTAAAGAAGATTTGAAGTGTGGAGCTCCAGCTGCCCTGTCCCTGTGCCTGACTCCTCCCTTTCGGATAGCAGGCACACTACCTCCCCTCCTTTTCCTTCTGCCCCCTTTTCCCTCCCTCTCTCCTTGCCTTATCCCAGCGCTCCTTCTTGAGACGTTCTTGAGTGATGTTTAATAAGGAAAAACGAAATGGTCACTTTACAATAAGCTACAGTGTGCGTGTTTATGTAAATACGTAAGTAACTTGTAACGTATAAGTGTTTTTTCCCCTGTGTAACACTGACAGTGTAATGAAAAGTGATACCAAGCAAACATTCAAGCTGATTCTTAAGAGTTGTAACTTAAATGCCTGAGTCTCAAGTCTCAAGTCTGAGAAAATTGCACTAGAAAAAAAAAAAAAAAAAATCGTTTTAGACATAACTTGCCAGCATATAACATGCATTGACGCTAATTAATTTTTACCAAGCAAACATGCCATATAACGGTCTTTGGGTGCATCACTTTGGGTGATCCTTAATATGAGCAAATTCATTATCTAAAGTTTGTCAATGCATTAAGTAATTTAAATATGGTAATGAACTTTGGGAAAACAAGAACTTTGGGAGAAGAAAACACTAAAAACTGCTAAATAAAATGGGTAGAAAGCTTGTTTAAGAGGGTTCTGAAACTACCCAGCACAAATTCAAATAAATAAATAAATACAAATTTAAAAAGTATACACTGATAAAAAACAAATAATAAAAAATAAATAAATAAACGTAATGACAAGATAACTATACAACTAAAACATTTAATATAAAACACAAAGCAATTAATATAAGCTGCTGGGATGTAATTTATCAGGCAAAATAAATCCTGTTGTGTACTTTTTTTTTTCTAAAGCTTCATAATCAGTGACCTGATTATGAATGATTATAAAAACTTTTTTTTATTAATAAGAGGGTAAAATTGAGATATCATAATAGCATAAAAAGGTGGGTATAAAAATATGTGTTGTCAAACAGAGTGTTTCAGTAGGCTTTTTTGCTTTAACACTCATCATGTACATCATGTATGCTTCTTTGAAATAGGGATTCCTTTTCAGTATTTCAACATTTTATAAATATTTTAGTGCATTATTACCTCTGACAACTCTGACTCTGACAACGCTTTATATAAGTTTATTTTTTCATCCATATTTGTTGTCTGACTAATCAAAATGTAATATGTAATGTGTCTGTGTTTCAGTAAATATCACTCCATCTAACTCAGATCTAATTCTCATTGCATTATTTCAGCAGCACAGCCATCTATCATGGAATGCGAAATAAAATGACAAGCTTATACGGTAAAGAACTCTGTCTTTACACCTCAAAGTGGGACCTTAACGTAAACATCGAAAGGAGAACTGTGCCTCCTGTGGGTTATTCCTAATCAATATACATAATCAATATACAGGGAAATTAGGATGTTAAAAAAGACCTTCTGGGCTCACAATCAATCAATGGGGCAGTAACAGATTTTTTCACAGTTGAAAATCATTCTCTAATCTCTTAAGCAGGATCTGACTGCGCGTGTGGCCGACAAGTAAAGTCAAGTAGAGTTCATTTTATGCCATACACGCTACTGATGTGTCTGTCTGAAAGAAAAATCCAATAAGATAATGGTTGTGTGTTATGTTGGTGATCAAAATTAATTTACCATAAAACATGTGGTTCTTGTATGCATTCGCAGCAATTTAATCCTGTTAGAGTAAAATAAAAAGGGCTTGCAATAATATATGCATAGATATATCATGCTGAAATTTAGTGTACCTGTGTCGTGGATTTTTTAAACTTTTCATCTTCTGTGACAATAATCCAAAATATATATGTCCATATATATGTCCATATATATATATGAACATTTGTGAATATGAGAAGAGATGGGGGAAATGCAAAGTTCTGTAATACAATTAGATCCATGCACAAATTCAAAGAAAACCAATATAGCTCAAAACAACCAGTTAACCAATGTTCCCAGCTGCAGATTTATAGTTACCAAAAAGGGGGGTAAATGTAGAAAAAAAACAAGCCAAGCAAAACCCTCTGACCAAGATCATCCATTACACATAACATCTAACATTTATATATGTCAACTGCGAAAGCTACATTCATGTGTGTTCATTGTACATAAAGGGATTTGGTGCATTCGGAATTCATTGGAACTGACATATTATGAATAATGTTTTCTGTTCCAAAGTGCTTTTTATTTAACTAAATACCAATTCACATATTTAAAAGCAGATGGCTGAAATCAGTCTAAAAGTTCCGGACATGGATAACACATGATACACCTTTCTATTTTGTTAACTCGCAATCATCCATTCTACTGAAGTGGATGGAGAAACTGATATAGACATGTAGGCAGTCAGTCAGTACTCTTTGTAAATCTCTCTTAGAGAGATGGATGAGAAAGAGAGGGTCCACAGAGGAGAGGAGAAACGAGAGGAGGGGTAAGTCAGAGCAGGGATTGGGGGTGGTTAGCTGGTCCCGAAAGTATTCCATCAAAGAGGAGCCGGATCCCGGGGATTGAGATTTTGCCTGGGGGCAAGTAACCGTTGGTCTCCCAAGAACATATTCCAAAGTCGGCCTCGAAGAGCCAAAGCACACATCAAAAACAGCAGTGGTGCCAAAGTGGTTCTTGAGGAGAAAGAAAGGGGTACAGGTCCCTCCTTGGCCCGCTTTGAGCCCCTGATCTCACCCAATTAAACAAGAATTCATGACTACTGACTCACATTGACACTGTGCACACCCTGAGACCTATGTACATACAATAATAGTCTTTTTACCATGCAGTGTATGGGAAAAACACATGGTCATTCTCTTTTGAAGATTGCGCACACTTTTATGTATGAATCTGGCGAACAAAGCAGCTTCTCGAACAATCAAGGTTTAATGACATAATTGTCCATGATAAAGGAATTTTAAAAAAAAATCTAACCTTTCAAAACACATGTACCAAGTTAAATATATACCAAATATATACAAAGTTCTTATAAACCTTTTGTATTCATGATGGCTTGGGGGGAAAAAATCCCAAAAGACTTCATAACAGTCTGCAGAAGTCTTCTCTATGATATAATTTATGGTATTTTATTTTTTAGAATGTTTCTGCATGCGCAACATGAATGGACAAAAGTTTTTCAAAACTAAAAAAAAAAAAAAAAGAAAAGAAAGTAAATGATTATACCAAACTATTTCGTTAAACCAACACTCTCAAAACAACTTGTAATAAGAAGTCTGACTGGCTGCATTTAAGAACAAAGAACAAAGTGGCTAAGCATATGTACTGTACAAATATTACAGAAACCTCAATTCATAATTCTTTCCTGTGCTTATGAAGATTTATTACACGTCACATCACTTGACAGGTTTTTCAGCTTTCACCAGTCCTGTCATTCATGAATTGGTAGCCAGCGATTTAACTCATACTGTTGCTTGTTTGCGTTGTTTTTTTTTTTTTTTGTAAAAGACTCAGTGGGGATTACCAGTTGGTTTACACATTGAGATTTCTCATCTTGAAGTGTTCGATCTTGAGCCCAGTAAACACTCCACAAAGGAGAGACTATTGAGAACTAATCCACTGCTGTATGCTCAAAGGCTAAAGAGGAGAAGGCTTTGCTCTTGTACCTAAAACAGCCAGCACAAGTGGAGAAGATGCATTCTTTTAGTGCAGTTGGTGGAGATGTCCTTTTCTTCACTTCTCACAATATTGGGATATCTCTGTCTCACTGCTGGAGGTTTCTGGTGTCTGTGAATATAATCTAATGGTGTGTTGGGCTGATAATGAGTGTGCACTCTGCCCCTCACCCTGCCCTAAAATCAAAAAGGGATATTTGTGAGATTATTTTGAGGCTGTGAAAAATAATAAACGCAAAACTGTATCCACTTCAGCTAGTTAAGTAATTTTCTGACTGATTGTATCCCGAGGAGGATTCTATGCCAGTTCTGAAATGACAGCATAATGAAAGTGGTATGCGAGTTGTGTCTTATCGACAGGGATTAGAGGGTAGAAATGAAAAAGGAGGGGTTGCTGAGCCCTGTGTGGCATGAATTTGATTATCTAATGGACGGCAGTGGAAAAGCGTGCTAATTTTGCTAAAGTGTGAGACCTTTATGCGCCCCTGGTTCCACTCAGCTTCTTCTTTTATTCATGCATTTTAGTCTCAGACTCACTTTATTTTTCTTTTGTGTCATCGCTTTCTCACTTTCTTTCAGGTTACATTGATGCAATAGCCCACAGAGGTTATTAATATCTCTATGTATGAGCACAGTGCATGCAAGCGTGCACAATTTAATCCCTTTTTGTCATTTTTTCTTCTGTACTGCTGTACTGATATAAATATTTTGGCTATAGTGTCCTACAGACAAAAAAAAAACAAAACAAGCCCGCAGTTGATTTTGATATTCTAGGTATTATCAAATGTTTTGAGATCACAGCGGACGTGAAGGACAATAATGCGACAAGAGCTCGCTCAAGTATTGAGGTGCTAAACCATTCGGGGCTTTATAAGTAATTAGCAAGATTTTAAAATCTATACGTTGTTTAATAGGGAGCCAGTGCAGTGTTGACAGAACTGGGCTAATATGGTCATACTTCCTGGTTCTGGTAAGAACTCTAGCTGCTGCATTTTTGACCAGCTGGAGTTTGTTTATTAAGCGTGCAGAACAACCACCCAATAAAGCATTACAATAATCTAACCTTGAGGTCATAAACTCATGGATTAACATTTCTGCATTTGACATTGAGAGAATAGGTCGTAATTTAGATATATTTTTGAGATGGAAAAATGCAGTTTTACAAATGCTAGAAATCTATTGTGCATGCCTACTTCTATAATCTAAGATACACAACACTCAGTGTACTTGGATATGTTTGTCACATTTTACACACATTAAAGTAGAAAAAGCACAAAGCAAGGAAAGAATCATAGATGTTTGATAGGTCCTTTTCATTCATGTTTGTCCAGTTTATTTTCAAAAGTTTACTTTGTGTGGGTTGATTTGTGGGTGGGTGGTGTCCTCTGTTTGATC